AAGCTCAAAAAAAAAGAAAGAAAAAGAAAAGGAAAAAACCACCCTCTGAGGAATTTGCATACTAGTCAGACTTTGGTGCACTGCAGTGGGTGGTTCCGGCTGAGCGTTAGCTCTATTCTTAGATGTCTGCGCTGAGGCAGAGTCGGACGGAAATTGTTCACTGCTGCTGTAGGATCTTACAGTCATTTCTTTTAATGGGGTTCAACTGTCAAATCAAATTTCTCAAACCTGTGTAAAAGGCTCTTATAATTAGACGTGTCATCTCTTCTTTTCATGGCAAAACTCAAAACTGGGCTGTTTCTGTCAGTAAAGTACTGAAACGTAGTCTTCCTCTTCCATTAAGAGGATTGCTTTCTTTTTAGAGGGAGGGCTGGGGATTTTTTTTTTTTTTTCATTTTTCTTCCCCACTCCTTTTGTTAACAAAAGTGTATGACAAGTCAACTCTTTTCTTCAAGGTAAAATAGGTGCCTTTTTTTCTTTGAGTAATAACATGATGTGCCTGAGTTTCTGGTTTTGTGGCTCTTAAATGCAATCCAATCGACATTAGAGATTAATTCATTCAATGACAAGCCAAGAGTCTTTGATGCCTATTCAAACATATTTTCTACTTGAAAATATGTTTGACGTTTCATAGCTTGAAACGTCAAAAGACAGTGAGGTTGCCAGTAAGAAGCCTTTCTTTCTAGTGTTTGGAACTCAATCTTTAAGATCATTTTAAAAAAACTTATCAGAATATATAGGTTAAGTTTTACAAAATAGATTTCTTTTTAAGCTTTAATATAAGATTCTACACGAAAGGTTTCAGTAAAGCCTGTAGACTAACAATGTTTTGTCTTTATTATCTAAAGTTCTGCTTCAGAATTACTGGAATATATGAAAAAATTATATTTAAGATGAGAATTCCCCCAAACAGCATTATTTTTGAGACCCTTCGACTCTTAGTCTTTTAAATCCTGGACTATACAAGCAAAAAACATACGTAAAGAAAGAAAATATAAGTGGTCACTAAATGATTCGAAATCAGTCCATGATTTTGTCTTTTAACATTTTAACACATCGACATGATGGAGTCAAAATAAAATAAAAATGGCCGTTATACAAGGACAATTGTTTTATAAATGAATGATATTAAAGCTGAATTTTCCCGGACCTGGAAGGAAACTCAGAGAAAATACAAAACTATTTTCAAAGATAACACAATGAGGAATAAATGTGATGTTTGGACTTTGGGAAAATAAATATGAAGGTCAAGTGTACATGAGATAGATAAGATATTTTTATTTTGTTTTTCTACTTCAATGTGCACAGTTGCACTAAGAGTATTTTTCTTAAAGATCATAGTTCTTTTTCAAAAAGATATTCTCTCCAGGAATTTTCTTAAATGTGTATGTGAATGGAAGCATACACCTTCAGAATGAAAATTGTTCTTAAATAATATGAAGACTAAGAAAAACTTGGAGAAATGTTCTAAACCAATAATTCCCTGAACTTTCAGATTTCATACACTAATAAAATTTGTGTCATTAAAAAGGTGGGAAGCATATAGGCTCAAGATAAGGGATAGCTTTTTCTAAAAATCAAAGATATATACCTTTGTTAAAAAAAAAAACTCCCTATATTGCCTTTTATACTTTTCCATTAGCAGACAGCATAAAAAGAAATGTGATACCCTAGCCAAATAGCAATCCCTGAGCTAAATATTCACAATATTAACTACCTAGCGGCCCAATAACTGTCAATTACAAATCAAGCAAATTGTGTCTTCTTTTATAAGAATGCATGTAAAAGCTCATCTGATTAATCCCACAACTGCTGGTGGTACTGCTATTTGGTATATTTTTTAAGATTACTTCCAGAGCCGTCAGTTTTCATTATTATGCAAATTAGTTAAAATAAAGTTCAAAATAACTACACTGTTACCCTCTCAAAAAGCAGAATAGAAATCAAAAAGATGGAGGTTAATCTAATCAATCCTGAGACGAGAAGTTGAATAGTAAATTTTATAAATAGATTTTTGGGGGGTGCCATAAATGAAACTTGACTGAAATTTGCCGTATGTCAAAGCGTTATATCTGTAAAGGAACAACAAAAGGTCACCAGCTCTGACAATGGATGTTAACTGACATGTGTGTTTCAATGAAGATACCGTTTCATTATACCATGATGTTTCATTTAATGAAAATTAAAGTTCCAGGATGCTTTATGGAAACGATTTCTGTGCAGCAATGCAGTACTCTTGGCTATGCTGGACACTAATAATTTACCCAACTTATATGAAGAATTTATGCAGGTAAAGAATATCTAGATCTAGTCATCACCAGAGAGTTGACAAACAAGTCCTTACTGTCCACTAGTCTAGGTCTTGATCCCACTGAGAGAAAGGAGCTTCTCTAAGAACGGCGAATGACGTTGTGGGATTGTGTCAGTGTGGCCTCTGCCTCGATGGCCAGGAATGGGCTGAAGATGGCCTTTTCTTAGGGTCGAGGCCAGGGAGGGCCACCTGGGATGCATGGCACACTCCAGCTCTGGGGACTTGAGTCCATTCCCACCGTGCAGAGGCAGCATCAGCTACCGGACAGGACATTCATAGTGGAGGGACAAATGTGGTAAACTCTGACAGGTTCCTTAGGATTCCTTTGTTTCCTCTTTGCACTATGCACAAAGGCACCCAACAAATGTTACACCCCAGAACCCTTCACTCTTCATAGAGATGTGCATGCCGAGTTAGCGAAGCAAATACGTGGTAAGTTCCCAAATAGTTCTGACTTGCCTGTTCAGCACAGCCTGTGCTTTGCTTCCCTTCATTTTAAATCATTCATGAGGAGAGAACAATCTAGGTTAATCCCAAATTAACATGGGTGCCCAACACTGTTCTCTTCCTGGCTGAGTCAATCACTCCCACACGTACTACATTGTCTGCTGAATATACAACTTCAAACTATCTCTTAAGTTTTTTCCCTAAGTATGGTAAAATTAAATATCATGAACCATGGTAGGTTAAAATTCTGATTTAAATATTTGGGGGACCACATTTCTAATACTCTTTAATTGCTTGAATACCTAATAAAGTTAGAAAAGAGAAAAATATATATACCTCAGATTTTAATTCTATTTTACCCAACAACTCTAAGTATAAATAAACTGAGAAAAATGTCTCCTTAGTTTCATTTATTCCTAACTGGCAATTTATAGTAATAAATGCTAATCTGGGAGGCTGATTTGATTATTCTAATCACCAAAAAGGCTAGTGAATTTTTTAAATTTTTAATTAAAATTAAGAATTTTAATTTAATTAAAAGAAGGGGAAGCTGGGGGAAAACAGTGAATTCATAATACCACCAAGCACATTTTTCTGCAAGAAATGCATGGCTTTTAATATTAGTAACTATATAAATGCCCTCCATGGTTCATTGAATCTCTGTTACCGCTCTACCACTACCCAGCTCCTGGGCTATTTTATATATGCTAAGACACATGGGTAATAATTTGGACATTCCCCTTCTGTTTTTCTTATCTAAAAGTTGCTTGGTGGTTAATGTGTTTACAGATTTCTTGCATGCTGTGCTTTCAAGCATGAAGAATTCAAATTTATTTCACCATAGAAACAAGAACCCAAAATGCAAAAAAGTGATCATAAACATCAATTGAACCCAACAGTTATAATATTTGCCAAACACTCAGTGTTACCATTTCTTCTTCCTCGATTATTACCCACTGACAACATCTTAGGTGTGGGACAGACGACAGGCAACTCAGAAGACACTTGGAGAGGATTTTTTTTCCCCTTTTTTATTTAACCAGGTGTAATGTGACCTGTAAGAATGGAACCAGGTTCATCTGCACTCACCCCATTGCTAATGTCCCTTTGAGAATTAGTTCCACTACATTGACCTTCACAAAAATCATACGAAATTATGTCAGAGTTTTCTGAAGTATGAAATTGTTATTTATTACTCTGGGTAATGACCACTCAATCCACTGCCTTCAAAAATGTGATTATTTAACCGACTCAAGCATAAGTCTTTGCAGTGGCTAGGGAAATTTTTTGTGTGTGTGTTTTGTATTTGAGATTTGATTTCCAATATCCAACTGGAAAACATGCAAATCTCTACCAAGAGATGCAAGAGACGACTGCTTCTTTTCTCAGGTGCGAGGACTGATGTGCATGCCTGGCCATTCCATAAAAGTCAGCGCTTGCACCCATCCTCCAACCCCTCCCTCCATCTGCAGCATGGAGGAACCTGAGCACACTGATGGTCACTATTTGAGCTCTGAAGGAGAAGTCAAGAGATGGAGGTGGCATTACATCTGCAGGTGAATACCTGTGCGTTGCCATATAAAATGTCACCAGGCATGTGCACAAACTACTAAATAGTTTAGAAGTCATAACATCCATGCCCTCTTGTAGGTAAAACAAGGGAGGTCTGGAGAGGTTAGAAGTGACTTAAAAGCCATACCAGTCATTAGTGGCAAAACCAGGACAGAAATCCAGTCACCATAAAGGCCACTTCCACGCTTGCTTTCTCACCGCCTGCCTCACAGCACTCTGGTCGCCTTTCCTGGCTCTGTGATGAACGTGATAAAAATAAACACCCAGGAAGAAGCGGGAGGTGAATCGAATGATCATCAGTGGTTTCACAATTTACATCCATAGAATGTTTCTGTAAGATCCTATCATTCTTTTCTTCCCATCCTTTGAAGATCAATTCTATTTATTGCCTTTTCATGAGTTTTATTCAAAATTTTTGTTGTTTTTAATTAATTACACCCACATTAAGTTATAGGGTGCATATCTGTAAGTTTTCAGTTTAGCTTCTGAGATAATTTATTGACATTGATCCAGTTATTTTGTTTTTTAAACAGATAATGTTTACAAAAATTTGAGGATCCTGCTTTATACTTCTATCCAAATATATTCAGGAAAATGCCCAATACAGTGCTCTGTTCTCTAATAAGGCAGTTACCGGGAGGGACAAAGGGGAGGTAAAAGAAAACCAACAGTCTTTATCTCTTCTTTTTAATTGTTTAACTTTATTACTGTTGCACCATTTATACAATTACATATAATTTCAATGCATCCATTGTACTTTTTTTTGTTTTTTTTATTTGTTTTTTTTTTCCATTTTCCAATGAGTGGTGTGTTGGTGTCTGTGACACAGAATGGAAGAGAAACTGGAACTGCAATGAACGCAGACTTTTTTTTTTTTTTTTCATTTCCACTGACCAATAAACAGAACTACAGGTGCACCCAACCACGGACATGCATTAACTCGTCATGAGAAATCTAGGTAGGCTAAGTAGGATGAGAGAATGTTTGTTACTCCCAAAAATATCTGGAGAGGAAGAATGGAGGATTGGCATCGAGATACATGTGGACAAGCTAAGTGGGCTCTGTCTGAAAGTTGGCATTCATCCACAACATTAAAAAAATATCAAAATAAGAAAGGCTGTAAATTAAAAAGAAAACACAGAAAATACTGCTTTCATAAAGATCTGATTGCCTTGGCACAGGCCCTGTGGGCAGAATCAAACGCATCACTCCCAACTGCCCTGGTAGAAGAAGAAAAGCCGTTCGGATCTTGGCGGTGGAGCACGTGAAACAGCAGTCAGTTCAGGTACTAGCGATGTACTGCACTTTCAGACATGGATCTTGAACTCCAGGACTTCTTGGTAAAGTTGACTGAAGGTATATTAGATATTTCCCCACAAAAATACTATTTGGATTCTCCCCACCCCCTCCCTCCCTTGATGGGACACATCCTTTTTTTTTCCTTGGGCAATACATATCATTACTTCCAATTTGAAACAAGTTAGTATAGGACAGAGAGAGGAGAGACAGAGAGAAAGAGAGGAGAGAGAGAGGAGAGAAAGAGATAGGTTTTTTTGTTGTTTTTTTTAAGCGGTATTATTTTTTCCATAGGCTGTCCTTGTCACTCTTTCACTGCTACGGTTTGATCAGAATTAGCTGCCGGGGCCTCGCCAGCCTTAAGCTCTTCTGCGGGGGCTGCAGGGGCCTGGGCCTTGGGGGTAGAACTAGGTGCTTCCGTGGCTGCCGGGGTCTCCTTGCTGGAGGCGGCGGCCTCCGTGCTGCTAGGTTTTGAGTCTGAAGCCGGGGCCCCGTCACTTTTCGTCTCCTGGGCGGCAGGGGCTGCGGGAGCCTCAGTCTTTTTGGGGTCCCCTTCCTCCTTGCCCGGGCCGTCCCCGGCGGCGGGCGCCGCGCTCTCGGCCGGGCCCGCGGCGGCCTCGGCAGCTCTGGGGGCCTCGCCGCCCGCAGCGGGGCCGGAGGCCG